AGGATATTGTAAATATCAAACCATGGAGAGGTAGTACGACAGTGTCAAGAAAACACGCCGAAAGATGGAAGGGCGTTGACACTTCTAGTGGCTTTGATAAATTAGACTCAATTGACACTTATATCTATCTTATTTTGCAATCTGCCTTTATTTGTACTGCCATATCGAGGGAGGTATATATTTTTTACCTTTTTATTCACCAGATATGAAGTGTAACATCTCTATGGCCAATATACCAATGAGTGAAGTATTTGCCAAGTACAGCTATCTCAAACCCGAAGCCATGGAAATCTCGCGAGAGAGTGCCGATATTGACGAGATGGATGAGAGGCTACTGAAGAGCGGATACCCCAGTACGTATAGAGCCAATTCAGTATTTTTAGAGCAATAGACGGCGCAGTGACTAGTTACTTGTTTTGCCACCGCGGCGCCATTGGGCAGTGTTCATTACTCGCTTGTTGGTATGATTTAGTAGCGATGGAGTTATGAATGTCACGGATAATTAAATCACGTTTGTTGACAACTTAAATGCCCAACCCTCCAAATTATGAGATGTAATGCTTAAATTGTCCTAATTTCGTGAGAATATCATTATAAAACGCCTCGCATTTGTGGCACTATTGTGTATACAAGCGTATCCAAGAACGTGCGCGTGTATATGTGTTCGTTCGCGTGTGTGCGTGCATGCGTATGTCTGCATGTTTGAAGGTCGAATAAAGAGAAAGGGAAGGGAAAGTCTCCAAATGATGTCACTGGCCCATCTCGTTGTAAATGACCAATGTTTTTTTCTCCATATATATGAAGTGATGCTGGTCAGAAGGTCAAGAGAATCACTTGGAAGGTTCGTGTTTCACCAGAAATATACCAGCACTAAGTTTTGTTTATACTTATTTAAAAAATCGCTCAGGTAAAATGCACAGGAGAGTAATTATGTAATCTTACTCGTGAGGTGAATAAAGCTGACGATCTTGTATTATTACTCAGCAGCAGCAGGCACCCGCAGTATAGTACAAAAATTACGTATACTGATCAAACATTGACGGTGTGCTTTCCAGCACCTTAATCAAGGGTTGCCCTCACGAGACAAGGACGCCCAGGAGAGTTAAGGAAAGTGACACTGGATGGGACACAAGCGAGGTTGCGTGACTCGATCCTCTAAGAAATAATTTATTGTGTTCCATATCAAGATCGACATCACAACGACCTCCGTCCTGTACTCAACGTAAACATAAATGTTTTACCCCCGTTGGCGCTAAACCACCGAAAAAATATCACTCGTGTTAACATTTTTGAAAAGATTTCATAACAAAATTATTGCTTATTTACATGAACAAAGCTATGGTTAGCCTACCTAGTATCGGATGTTCGGAGCTTCCTCAATCTACCGAAATATTTGTGCCGCCGAGCACAGTGCAGCTGGTGGTGCAACTGTGACAGGTTAAGTGTAACATCACAGTTGCTGAGTCACGTGATGTTTGTAGCAAGCTCTGATTTGGCAACAGTAGTTTGGATGTATAATGATAACAATGCGTAATGATTGTAAATTGGTATTTCTCTATTTTACAATTTATCATAATATTGAAAGGCATCTACCGGTATGGTAATTTGAAGCAGGCATGACTTCAGTACACTTGTTTTGAGAGAGAGAGAGAGAGAGAGAGAGAGAGAGAGAGAGATTAATGCATTCAGGGCTTCCATTTACCATGATCCCCACTCTGCGGCCCAAAAAAACTTCAGTAGTCGAGGAGACACTGTGCAAACCTAACTTTGATTTTGAGTAGCATAGTTTAGCAAGGAGGGTTTATCTTTGATATCTTTCAGACGTTTTGTTCCATCGTCTGTACATTTTATCGGTCGAAAGAGTGTGAACCAGTGCCACTGAGCATTACCCTCCCATATATTCCACATACCACTCTTAAAGGTTTTTTTTTTTCAATTACCTCATAATAGTTCCATGTCTGAACAGCGCCATTAAGTGTAGTTACTGTAATTCATCAAAATATTGTTGGGTAATCTCCCGGATCCGCATGCAATAGGCGATTGAAGTAGTGTATTCTGCCGATATCAATGGTGTGCCCCACTGACGGCCAGCTCAGGTCACCTTTCACCGCAATATATACCGCAATACAACGATTTTATTTTAAACAGACTGTTGTGGTCAGATAATAATGTTGCCCGACCTTATTTAGATTGTGCGGATTCAAGCTATTTTCGTTCTTAGTCTGAGGGCTCATTCTCAATACAACTATCGGTCCAACTCCGCATGGGACTCTCAGTGAATGTAATCAGTTTAACAATTTAGCACGCCCCCATTTGCTTCCAAGGTGCTCTCATAAACACCAGGTTTTGTGTAGTTGGATTAATTTCAGCACACTCTTTTCTATATTTTTATAACGGGACTATATCTTTGTCAGAGAAATTTCTAGTTTTATTGGTAGTTTGTTTTTAACCTGGTGTTTTTTTCAGGTTTTTTTTTCAGAAAGTTTAATTAATAGAAAATAAAATCTAAGAAACACTAGGTGAAAACTGTATTGTACTGTTTAATCTGTTTGAAGTTTTATCCTCAAGTTTTAGCTTTTAATCATATTTTAAATATTATTTTTATTTTATCTCCAGTGCCGGTATTGGGGCTTGGTCTGGGAGGCATGACGGCAGAAGAGACAGAGAGGGGTGTCCGCCACGCTCTCAAAGTCGGTTACAGGTACGTCTGCTTCTTAGGTGAGGTATACTAAGCTCTCGTAAAAGGCTACCGGTAGTTGGAAAAAGCGAGCGCCTAAGGGCCCCTTTACACTGGACGGCGTCCATTCTGCGTCCCTTCTGCGTTCAAAAATGTGGTCAGGACGCTAAACGGTCGCCAAAGCAATTAAATCGTGTCTCAGTGTAAAGGCGTCTGCGTCCCTTGTGCGTCCTTTGAACGACCGAATCTTGATTTTACCTGTAAAACTGCGAGCAACCTGCCTGCCTCCAATGTACGTCCCCTGTGCAACCCAAGGCGTCCATTGCAATGTTTGAGCGACCATTGAGCTTTCTTGCTGCGTTCTCTGTACCTTCATCGGCGATCAGTGGCGTCTATTCTACGATCATTCTGCATTCTGATAGACCGATGAGCGTTGTTTGGGCGTCCTTCTATATATTCTAACTCATATTTTTTCATCGGTTCTAACCAGGTCATCCAATAAAGAACATTTCCAGCACACAAAACAAATAAATGGAAATAAACGCTTTAAACTATAGTGATGCAAGGTCTGCATGGACTGATAATCAGCCAGATGCTCATTGTTATAAGAAGGATGGACAGGCGCCGAATCCGTTTTCAAATGACGCACTCTGCAAAAAGTTCTGACAATTAATGCATCTTGTAAAAAAGGCAGAATATTCGTTTCATAATAACCTCAAAAAAATATATATATATATATATGGATCGTTTCATGAATTTTAGGGGAAAAAACAATCGGAGGCTGATATGAGACCACTGTTGCCCTTAGAATTCATTTCTGGTGAAAAATACCTCAACACGGCCCCGTTTGAGAGTGAAAAAAATGTTCTACGTGCCGAACACTGGACGATCTTTGAGTTTTCATTCTGCAACCAAAGCGATGCTTGTGCGTCCTTTCTGCGTCCATTGAGCGACCATCCTCCATCGCGTTCTCTCTGCGATTGTTTTGAACATGCTCAAAACTTCGCGGCGTCCATGGCGTCCTCGGCGCTGCTTGAATGTTCTTTGTGCGACCTTGGCGATCACTGTGCGTTCTTTGAGCGTCCGACGGCGTCCTGGCCAGTTTCATGGTCGCACAAAGGACGCAGATAGGACGCCGTTCAGTGTAAAGGGGGTTTAAGGGAAATGCAAGTAAATCTGGAGTACTCATAGTACTGTAGAACAAGATACTCCAGTAGGTACAGTTGTACCTTAGTTAGATTATGTAGTTCTACGTCAGGACTCAATTTGCTAAGTCAATTCCACTGCTTCATTTAAATTATGATATATTTCCCTCTGATACGTTTGAATTTTTCTTTAAGCGCGAGGTCAATTTTTGGTAAAAGTTACAACACCTGCTGACACCGTGCTAACTGATGCATAGCCCGCTTCAAAACATGTATATTCAGGGATAATGTGTGTGTATGTCAAGATTTCATTTTCACTCAATCTCAGTCTAAGTCAATTCAAATAAACATGAGTTATAATGCAGAGTATTTTAATTTGAATTTATGGTTATTTCGTTTATTTCAGGTTGTTTGACACCGATCCGGAAGACGAAAGCGAGGCAACTTTAGGTGCATTTTTGGCTAAAAACGAATACTGTGAACGTGAGGACATATTCGTTATCGTTAAAGTTCACCCAAAAAATTTGGGCAGAGAGGCGACAAGAAAGTCGATCGAGCGATCTTTACAGAGGTTGCAGACGGACTATCTTGATTTGGTTCTGATCCAAGCGCCATCGTGCGACGAGAAGAATTTTAAATGCGAAGCAGACGACAACCGCGGCACGTGGCAGGAATCATGGGAAACTCTTGAAGAAATGAACAAAACTGGAGTTGTTCGTTCATTAGGGGTAAGCAACTTCAAAAAGTCGCAGATGAAGGAACTTCTCAAAAAGGCAACTGTCCCCGTTTCTGTTCTCCAAGCCAGATTCGATCTAATGACAAGAAACACAGCGCTGAGGATATTTTGCGACAAAAACGGAATTCAGTTCATGGCGCACAGTTTGCTTGGCTTCGGATGGGTGGCCGACGGGCTCTTTGAGGAAAACCCAATCATCGGCAGTTTCCCGGTGATGCTGGCTGCGAGAAAATACCGCACCAGCCCAGCGTCCGTTTTGATCAGATTCGCTCTGGATCGGAACATCACCGTCGTCCCCCGGTCGTCCAATCCGCTGCATATTTCTCTGAACAAGCATGCTGCGTATTTAGATATTCCTGACAGCCCAGACATAATGAACAGTCTGGAAGACTTCCCTCACAGACAGTGACATTAAGAAATAAAAACTTTTAAGGGAAATGAAGGTAACAAAAAAAAAAAAATCTCCCTAACTCATTAATTTCACTTACATGCATCTACAGTAGGTATACCATACTATTAGATTAATTTTTTCATGAATATTCAGAAAAGTATAAGAAGCAGGGAATATGGGAGCAGACGACATGCGGCATGTGGCACAAACCTTCGGAAATATTTCCCTTTAGACAATGAAATTAAGATATTGTATGGAGGTGAAGAGTAAAAATAAAATAATAAAAAAAAACTCCAACTTCCTTATATCACGATTTATATGCACATGTGATGCTTGTACATGTATCGCGCATTTAGTGCGTAAAGAGTACCGCCCCAGGAGTAAAACTCGTCAAAAATTATCAGTTATTTCAAACTTTATGCAGATCGATGTTTGTCTGAACATTTGATATAAGAAAGATTTTAAAAGTAATTTGTAGTATAGATTGACAAAATACCAGGCAGACAATAATATAACATATTTATTTCCTCTCACTGAGTGGGGTCAGGATAAAAACCATCTTTACTTTAATTCCACACTTATAAAATCTGCTGGCTGCTCATTTTGTAAAAAAAATTGAATAAAATAAATGTCTTGTTCTGAACTTCCCGTGAACAATTATGATTTAAAAAACCAACACGACTCGAATGAAGCACAAAATAGCAATAATTTTATTAGGGCAACAGTATATATCAAACACAACAAAACATAATTTAAGCATTCACGTTAGAAAACTCATCAACACATTCTCAACTGGTCTTAATTTGCTCACAATTAATTACAGACTATAAACTTTCGTAGATACTATTATGTGTAAACACGTTAAGCTTTCAACTAAACCACGAGGCATCCACAGTAAAAAGCCTCCATATATGGCGCAATGAAACACACATTGAGCTGCCGTCATTCATTCCTATAGTACTGTAACTACTAACTACAGTAATTAATTCTAAATGAAAAACCCATTTTTACTTTAAACAAAGTTTACAACTGACTTTATATAATATGATATTTTATATGATATTTCACATGCAAAAACTATTTCGAGCGACAGAAACACACATGCATGTTAAATACCAATCTCAGTGTCTGATAAGGTGCAGCTACAGGCAACATTTAAACGCTTTCTGAAATACATAAGCATCCACAATGCATTAACGGTTGAATTATATATAACGCTGTTGACTCTGTATATGAATGATAAAATATGTTGAAATAACTGTGAATTACAAATTATCGTCTTTCGTTCTGTGTGGATATCAGACTAATGAAATGAACTATCGAAGGTCTTATATGTATACAATGATAAGGACACATTTTTCTATATATGGTTAATTACTTTAAAAATATGACATCAATTCAAACACTAAACCTGGAAAAGGAATGGTGATCCATATAAAATATCAATTGTAGATATAAGTGATAAATTAACCTTTTTCCTCAAAAATATAACAGGCAATGGAAACAAGTTAGCATCGACAATTTTTTCGAAAATTTGTCCTTATAAGGCAATGTCAACTTTAATTTTCCCATACTTTTGAGAAAATATTAGCAGAAGAATCTTCCAAATCGGTATTTTCGACAAATTTTCAACAACTTCTTTGCATCTGGTTCAAACGGAAAGTATTGGTAGATTCTTATACACTTTCTTATACACTTTTGTATAATAAATCATTAAACGCAAGCAATATATACATCTCACAAACTTGAATACAAAGATGCATATATGAAAAAAAATATATCATTGTACTAGTTTCAAGCACTGTACATAAATCTCCCACAGATTTTTTATTTTTGGTCCATTCTTTTAACATTGTCAACTCCTTCAGGAGTAGTACAGATACCAGTAACTGCATGTAGCTGCAACTTGAAGCGCTCAGAGTTGACACGTACAAGTAATTAATAAAAAAAGTTATATACATACAGAGTCTATACTGCCACGGCAACCGTATCAAAGAAGGCACAGAAAAGGCTTTTGATTCCCGGTATCAAAGTGATCATTTTACTGATGCAGCTGTTCCTACAAGAGGCGCAACGGAAGACGGAGAAATGATCCAACAGCAGGTGGCTTAAAGCATGGCTGAGTTCTTAGTGAAGGGACAACATATGACTTTTTTACTTTGACATTGCTCTAAAGTTCATGGCCAAGACCCTCACCGAGAGTTGTTTTAAAATATTTTAGATAGGAATGGTTAATTATGAGGATGAACCTTATAGTCGAAAATCAAAATTTTGCAGGACATCACCGGGTAAGTTTACCGTTTATAAGTTAAGGTTGTTTGAAAGTAATCCAAGAACAACGTGAAATGTTTTAACAATAAAAAAAAATCAATTTAACCAGCAATAACCTCAGTGATTATAATTTTCAAATTCAACAGCAAAGCTTCGCCAAACAGATACTATTCAAAGGAGGGCGTTCGTAATTTTTTTTCAATATTACTTGCCATCCATCACATCTCTTAAATAGTTCGATAAACAAATCTACAGCCCAGCTCCCGTAGGATAGCAGACATCGTACAAAGTCACCGATGAACGGCCAACTATCTATGGACCCCCGTGACAGTTTTCAGTGGGTTTGGAAGTTTGGAAGTAAAACCTCTTTGTCGATTGGCTTAAATACTGGGCAATTTGGTGTTTATTTTTTTCATCAGAAATCTTTCTCAGTTTTACCTGCACGTGTCGAAAGAGTTCATGTATATCCTGGATGACAGGGATTTCCTCCACTAAGCACTGGGTAAAGGGGCTCAGAGAAGACTCATTACAGCCAGCATAAGCAGGGGTACCATCAGAAGTAGAAAGTATTTTAATAATATCGTAGCCACGTTTAGTTTTGTTTAATTCTTCTAGATGAGCTGTGTGTTTCTTGATATCATTTTCTATTGACGCTGGACCTTTTCCTTCGGTCCCTTGACCTCGGCATGCGTCTGTTATATATATTTTGACATCTGCATCTGTTTCCCCTAAGTTTAACAGAATCTTGTCCTCATCAATTGTATCGTTATTCTGACAAAGAAGTTGCGCGGCACCGTTTTCTGAAATTTTCCCGTGACCCGAAAAATAAAAAAGGACAACTGCATCTTTTTGCTTGCCCCACCCTTCTATTACATCCATGATATCCTTTTCATTTGCATCCTTTAATATGGTTACCTCAAATGGCTGGTTAAGGGAACTCAAAACCTTATACATCTCATCTGCATCATTTTCACAAGACGGCAGACTTGGAGCTGGACCACAAGAATAGTTGTTGCCCACTACTAGAGCCAAACGCTTCTCATGGTGGCACACAGCCTCTGGAGAGGGTACCGAACTGAGTTCTGTTGAATAAATAACGTAATAAATAACAGTCCAGGAGGTACCACTGATTTTTAACGTAAAATTCGACTCTGGTGCTGGTAAAAAGTACTTAATCTGATTACCTTTGATTTGTGTCTGATGTTGGATAATAACTTAGGCGCACCACCAACTCAACTTTGAGCAGGTGAGTGTGAACAGTTAGCTCTTTTCTCAAGACATAATGATTATATATTTGAAAATGAGCTTACCTGGCGGTTCTGAATCAAGCCCTCCCAACCGATCTCTGATAAGGCCGTAGAATGTGTCTGATGGTTTGCCATTTGTATATTTCCTTAACATTAAAAATACAATTCAATATATACATATATACATGTACACTGTATATACTCCCCTACCAAAAAAAAAAAAAAAAAAAAAAATCACACAAGATACGAAGCGTGACGAAATGAAGAAAATTATGTAATAAACCAATATTTTAATTCAGATATCTAGAACCATGTTTCACAAAATCTGACATCTACTGAACAAGCTTACCATCGAGAAGCCAAAGCCATATGTAAGTAGTTTGTACAGTATATTTTGGATTTGAGGACACCCCTGGCGCGTCTGTGCGCGGAGTCAGAAAAGTTATGTAACGCTTGTGATGGTGTAGGGGTAACACTTTTTTGATAGGGGAGTATATTTAGTTTTCAAGTTAGCACTTACATAATTGAAGACTGAATCTTTTTTATAAATGATTTTTTTTAAATGTGGATTTTCATGCCCAATAAAATCTCAGTACAGCATAGACATACATGCAAATACAATTCTACAGTTGGTGTACATAGAAGTACTTTAAACTTTAAATGTGCTAATTATCTTTCCTGGAAAATAACGCGAGCGTGCATTATCTTACCACCCAATGTGATTATCACATCCCGAGCAGTAGATTATTTCCCATTCATATCCCTTGTACCACGTGAAGTAGCTTGTTTTCTTGGAATTCAATAAGAAACTGGTATAAATGTGGTATCTAAACGTTTTTCAAATTTTTGAAAAATAAGAGAGGCAAGTATTTAAAGTTTAAAAATATTGAAATACATCAGATCAAGTATATATGGCCCTTTGACAAAACGTATCTTTCAAAATACCAAATTTAAGGCATCAAAAATAACCTGCCTGTTTCTTACTGGTATTATTCCTCCACATATTGCAAATAATACAAGGTACAAGAGAACAGCGTTTCTGAGAAACTCAAAATGACTGACAAAGATGATGCCTAGCTGATGTCTGATTAAAGGATATATGATAGTGGGTACACTTCGACATAAAGATGGGCTGTAACACTGTGGGTGTTATAAACCTTGTAAGACTATGAATGTTTTGTTATTCTTTCAGTACGTAGAAATATTGCTTTTGGAAGCTACTGTCTACACCATATAATATTGGCAATTGCGTCCGTGAATACGCTACAGTTGCACCTGTGATTCGGCAGGAATACAATGTATGTGAGACATGCGTAATACAGTTATGTGTGTATTTTCAATAAATGATATATAAACATTTTGATTCTATAATCCATTTACGTGCATGATGACATATTCATACTTGGTTCATGACAAAAAAAGTACCAGGCAAGGTGAGTTAACCTGTGCAAACTCGATTATGAAGCCCACTTATAGTGTGACCTAGCTACTTTTAAATCATGAAGGATTTTTGTTCTCTTTTGGTGGATCTTTGGGCGCTTGAAGGCTATTTTCGCCAGCAAATTTTATGTGAATATGTCTCTTCAGAGTATCTTTTTAAAAAGATATCAGTCTGTATTATGAGAGATAAAGTGACAAGGGGGAATATTTATAAAGAAAGAAGCAGGTATATGTCCGGACCGGTTTTGGCAAAAGCTCATACTTTGGAATATAGATTATTGCTCTCTTGTGACACGTCGTAAAGAAAAAACATTTTCTGTGGGCTAAAAATGAATAAAGCTATTATATGTAGACAATTTCTATCATTTTCTTG